AATATTTCATATGTATACATATGTAAGTATGTATGACTTAAATATATACGAGCTTTATACATGTGCCAACTAGTAGTTAGCCAACTATAGTAGTTAGCCAACTACTAACTAGTTAACTTTGCAACGCGACTAGTCCGTCCGCTAAATTTTTAGAATCTTAGCAAATTATGTTTTGAAAGTTGGCATCCTGTTTTTCAAAGGGTGACATCCTAGCATCGGTACTAATTAACGAACAAAAAAGCATACTGGGTGGGGCAGACGACTCGCAGGTCTGTCAGGAAGGGCGCTTCGCAGGGTAGTGTTCTCGCACCACTTCTGACGATGCAACAGCTATTGCGGATGCATGGAGGCGGATAGATATGAGATTATTGCATATGCCAATGACTTTGCGGTAATCGTACATGGGAGCCGCTCGTCCATAACCTCTACTCTTTATGTGAACCCAGCTAAAACTGGGCTATCAATTTTTATTAGACGGTACAAGCTGCTCTGGAATATAGATAATTCACTGGATATACACGGCCATTGTGCGTCTGATTTAGCCCTGCTTAAACTACTTCAAAAGTTACAAAAGAGTACGGGGTTTTACATAAGCGTAGGTCTATGCTCTTCACCTACTGATGCTCTGAATGCTATTATACATTTATTATACATTTGCCCCCGCTTTACGTGATTGCTCGAGATATAGCCATTGTTTCAGCCTTAAGACGCAGACAGTCAGGACACATGTTACATGCGGCCACTCGGAAATCTTAGGGGCCGATATCTGCATATACTGAGTTCTGCATACTATCAGCTTCGCCAGACCTGGCGACGTATGCAATGCGATACCCAAGTATTCTGCTGGCTTTAAACTCGATGCAAAGTTCATAGGGGAATTCTTCTCCAAAGAGCTGGAACTAGAAAACTCTTTTAGGCTTCCTGCCCTCTCTAGGATATACCATATGGAGATGCTGGCTATACAGACGCCCACTCGGCACTAAGTAGGTTGGGTTAGGTTAGGAAGGCGCGTACGAATCACTCATACTTCACTCAGAGGCAAATTTTCCCATTGGGAATGCCCTCTATGAGTATCAGTATGAGGCACATCCTTCCAACCGGGGTTAATGCATACTGTCGGTTTAGTTAATTAATTAATCCCAACGGCTTTTTACCCTCCATTCCCGCCCAACCGACACGAGAGGCGCAGTCCGCATGACGTACGGAACCTTTTTTTTTTTTTAGTTTTTTCGTGCCGAGTAGTGGAAACAGGAGTTTGTTAAGTGTCGAGATCTAAAACTATTCAGCTACAGAATCAAATTCATCAGCTGATTGGATATGCTAAAGATAGTATTTCAATTATTGAGAGTGGAAATAATAGTTTTCTTTATAGTAAAAATCGAGTCCGATACGTCAAACGTGCTGGAATGACAGTTAAAATCTTGACATAAACCACGGAATGATTCGTTTAGTTCAAAATTAGTTTTGCATGGCTTTAAAAATAGAGGTCGAAAGTGTCTTGACACTCGAGAAGGAACATTAAAATTTACCTCAGCCAGGAGGGCCGGGCAAGTCCGTTATTTTCACCTCCGCTATCTCCCCTAAGCTAGTGAAAAAGCGTGATGCTAAATACTTGAGACACCTTCTCTGGAGATCTGGGCATTGACATATCAAATGATCCAAAAACGTAAATTTTGATTTATGTACATCTCTATATTATTAAACGTGCGATATAATACAACTCATATGGGTGCCTGCTCTAGGTAAGCTTCTTGGCACTTTGTTTGCATATACATTACATGCAGACGCTTGAAATCATCATATACAAATGCACGTACATTAGGGCGGGTCAACTTTTATAGGCGACTTTTTCGCCTATGCGCGCATAGCACAGAAAGATTTTACGTGTAATTCTAAGGAAATTTGGCGAAGAAACTATGGGTCTAAAATCAATTTGGAATTTGTTAAATTGCGAAAATAGGTTCCCTAACATTTTGCGGTAGTGTCGTAAAAAAGTTTTTCAAATTTGTAAAAAAAAATGCAATAGTGGTTTTTTGGTTTAATTTATTTATTTCCACACTTATATTTGTCTTAAAACTTCCACCGAAGGGCGAAACAGTTAAAATTTTCACATTTTCTCCTAAACATATTTTCGCAATTTAGCAAACTCCAAATTAATTTTAGACCTATGGGCTCTTCGTCAAATTTGCTATAATAGTTGCTAACACTGATCAGTGTGGGTAGTGCAACAGGAAACAGCAGAGCACTTCATTATGTGCCACTGTGACCAGACCTAGAAGGACATGCAATACGCGGATCAAAGAAGTCCTATATAATAGAGGTTTGTTACAATAGATCGTTTTGGTCGCAGTAACTAGATGACCTGCTCCCTCCTCTAAATCTAATCTGATCTAAAACCCTCCGTTCTAGTTAATCGAATAGTTTATCCATGAATCTATTTACTTGGTTCAAAATGGCCAATGAATTCCAGTTAAATTTATAGCTTTAGCCACTAGTTCCATTTGAGTTAATAAGTCTCAATTTGCTCGCAATAAATACTAGTTGGTGAACTACATAGAATATTGTTTGATCACATTGACTTTTCAGTGCATAAAGCCCACAATTTGCAAGTTAGTTTTTAGTATGTACATATGTATGTATGTATGTATATACTTGTATATTTATTTTCATATGTATTTGTTAAGCCGTAAATGCTAGCATTTGTTCACTAATCGATTTCTTATGGTAGATACACATTAATAACTATAAATTGGGCTTTTTCAAGATCATTTGGCTTATTGTTGCTTTCCATTTATTTTCTTTTTTGTTGTTGCATGCTTTTAGGCGTGCTCTAGCGCATATTTTACACCACCAAAAATTGTACTCATGCAAATACAAAGAGAACAGCGCGCTTATAGGGTGGTCATTAAAGAAAGAATATAAAATGGAACGTTGTTATGAACCGCAACTAACATTTCTGTGTTCGTATGGAAAAGTAGCTTATGTCGAAAGGCTGACTTTAATATAAATCGGCATTTGCAGTATACGATTCCGAATGACTCGCTGGCGCTGAGCCGTTGAACTACTTTTAGCAAATAAACGCGCAAGAAATAGTTCCGATACTAGCAAGTCAATATTCTTATTAAGTCTCATCAAAAAATTCCTTGTCGTTTAAAGAATAAAAGGAATGCCGCATTATACTAAAGCCAACCTTTCGACATAAGCTACTTTTCCATATGAACACAGATTTTATTTTGTATAAAAATATATCGGGACTTATAATTCGACAAATGGATCTTGATTATGAAAAGTGAATTTTGGGGTTTTTGTTAGTTACACCCTTTTGAAATTCAGGTAACAGTGTGGCTTAAGGCTTTTTGCATTTCAGGTGAGTAGGTATGTGAATGAATACATTCCCTGCAGGAAATAAATCTAACTTTAAATTTACTTTAAGCTGATTTGAAAGGAACAAAGCGTCACATTTATCTATATATTTTCTTTGAGGAGAGCTAACTTTATTTGTATGGAGAAGGCCGCAAATAATCAATAGTGGTTACTAGTAAGTACACTAGTAGTAAGTACCAGCAAGTATTCTTCTGCATTAGTCGTCAAGTAACTAATTTTGGACATAAAATATCAATAAAATTAAGATTTGTGAAGTGAAACTTCTTTAGCGGCGGTTGTTTGCTTCGGAGTAAATTGGCAAATTCAACGAAAATTGCACAACGAAGTGGTTGGAGCTGACACAAGTGCTTCTTGAGCTTATGCACATGGTATTAATTTAACAAAAAACTAGAGACACAGAGACTCAATCTGGGAACTATTTTGGAGTTTTAGAAATTGTGGAGTTTCTCGATATTTTATCGATTTTGTTATTGAAATTTGTTTCGATATTCGTATCGATTTTTCTATCGCTATTTGACTTTATCAATATTTTTATCGGTTTTTCTTTCGATACTTTTGTTGATTTTGTTGTCGATGTTTTCTATCGATTTTGTTAACGATATTGTTATCGATTTTTCTATCGATATTTTTATCGATTTTGTTATCAATATTTTTATCGATTTTATTATCGATTTTGCTACCAATATTATTATCGATTTTGCTATCAATGGAGTATAAAGATAAAAATGAAGATAAAGGACAACAGAATAACCTAGAGGTAGGGATCTAGATAGAAAAAAGACAAAAAATATAACCTTACACAAAGGCAGATGTATGTAAGTACAAATGTACATATATGTACATACATATATATATATATATATTGGTTATTAGACAAAATAGACGTAAGTTTCACTTCTTCATTGTGGCCCAGGCGCACTTACTTTTTTTTTTATTTTTTACATTTTACTTATTTGTTTACTTGTTTACATATTCTGCTGCAGGTGGACCCATATTCGAATTCCGTCAAAGGGATAATCAAAATTTGGATCTTGATTTTGTTTGCCCTGAATTAAAAAAAAAAAAACATCAGTGAAGTGCAGACAAAAAGTTGAATACCTTTTTTTTAAATTGTTTAATACGAATTATTATGCCAAAAAATAACAAAAAACCAAATACTTAAGGACAGGTACGCCTTCAAGTTATAATGCTAAAAATTTAAATAAACCAAAAAAACAACAACCACAATAACTATCTACATGATCAAGTCTAAAGAGCAGCAGATAAAAAAGTTGGATAAAGCAACAGTTTTTAGCAGCTATAACTTCTACCATTTACTATAAACTGTTGTTTTTTTTCTATAATAATTTTTTTTTATTTGAGAAATTTTTTTTTTCTATAAGGTTTATATAAATTGTAACTTATTTTTTGGCTCGAACCAAACAGGACTCCAAATATTCGGCTTCGGAAAGGGATCCCAAAGTTTATAGTTCAGCAAATTTAAAAACTGAAATTGTTCATTATTATTCAGACCTGTTTATTTACATAAAGAAAAATACAAAATGATGAAAATAGGTATAAGTTTTCTTCATGCATGAATCTTGTTTGTCCCGCAATTAATCAAATTATAAAACGTGTTTCTATTATTCATTTATTTACATATATCCTATACATTTTCAGACAATAAAAACATTTTACAGCGTGTGCCATGAATGCTTATAATCGCTGATAAAAACTTAAGATCGATTCGAAAGCTATGATTTGTTTTAAAAGCCTAATGAAAATATCACTAATTTTAGCGCACAAAGCGTACAAGAAAAATCAATACAAAAACTTTTCCGTACGCCAACTTCATCACATACAATAAATATTCATATGATAGATACACATACATATATATATGCATGTACATAAATACATACATTAGGGGTATTCACGATCCGGTGTATACTGTCTAGCATGGTGCATAGATAACATATGTAAATAGCATATTGTTGTTGTTTCATGTGTTCAACAACAACTAAATTAGCCAATCATACAATCTATGCACCATGCTAGGCAGTATGCACCGGATCGTGAATACCCCTATTATATTTCTACAATTAATATGCGCCTTAATTTCGTTCACTTTAATCCAAGAAAATAAATATATGTTGCTCCCTCGCAGTTCAATTTGGTTTTTCATCTGTTGATATGTGTATAGGATTATTAAATTCGATGTGATCGCGTATGAGAGCTTCCTCTGAAACGAAAGGAAACAGAATAATAGTGATAAGTAAGGCATCTAGACCAGGGATTCGGGATCCCGAATCAGATTTATCGTTGCCGATTTTTTAATTTTTATTAGTTTATGGGGTATTCTTACTGAACGTATGATATGTTATCTGAACGTAGAATTTTTACCGTTAAAAAATAACCATGTTGACCTTGAGATGACCCTCATGTTTTTCGCTAATCGGCATTAGAAAGCTTGTTTTTTAATGAGGTTTAAATATTTTTTAAAAGTTTAAGTTAAAAGTAAAATCAGCAGAGGGGGGTAACGTTCAGAAATAACACCCCTTATATTAATTTTTTTTTTAAGCAAAATCGATTCCCCTGTTTCCTGTAAATAAATTTTAAATAATAAAAATTAGTTTAAAACCATTAAAGGGTATTCCCAAAACGAAAAAAACCACACAAGTAAAATTTGAAATTTATAAAAAAAATCACCAGAATTTATACAAAAAATTATTATGCAATTTTATAGCTCACTAAATTTTAGGCCCCTCCTCTGCGATGGAAAGATTAGATGAAGAAGGACTTGGAGTCCTTGGGAAAAAAATAACTGCTATTTTTTAATGTATAACTCGGCTCAAATCTCTTCGGTGGTTAAGCGCCAAGGAAGTATTCATTAGTAACTTTAAATTTTTCAAAAACAATCTCTTTTTACAAATTCCTTACCTCCGACACGCTGCTGCTCAATATCCATTATGCTACTAACAATGTTATTTATAAAATCTTGTGTAATCGTCTCCGTAATATTAACAGGATCAAAGTAGAGATAACTACGTCGCTGCCGCGCGCCATGTACAGCGGACTCCGCGAACTTTCTATCCGCCAAAGACTCCTGCGCCGGCAATGACCGACGACTACGAAATAAGGCCAAACTAATATGTGACTGCTGTAACGGTATATTGTCTGGGCCGAATTCCAAACACTTGCCATTGACACAGTAACGCTCCTCTGTGTTCGAACACTTAGTGCCAAGCGGAAAATGTCCATACCGGCCATTCACCAAATAGAAACGATATTTTATAAATTCATCTTGGCAACCAACACGACAACTTCTATCCGGCTCGTCAACACTCGCTGCAATTTGCGTGCCATAGCCGGATAGGCCACGCACCTTTAGCTTGTAGCGCGCGCAAGTGTGTTCCGCGTGTTCGGTGGCGGACAGCAAACGCTCACAGGGCTGCAATAAATCAACAATAAAATATGAAAAAAATCTATATGTATTACAATAAAATGTGCACACTTCGGTGGCGAACGAATATTGTACCTTGGCGGCGTGCGTGCATAGCTGTATGTTGTTGGCACCGGTGCGCCGGGAAGTCACCACTTGAATGCCCTTCGATTTGGCCATACAGCTCGAGTGACAGCCCGATTTGACAATCCACTCTGGCTCCGAGGCTGCTGTATCCACGGCTACCAACGAAGCAGAGACGGGAGGTGGCGGTTTTGGTGGCTGTGGCTGTGCTACAGGTTGCGCTGAGTCACGCAGCGGATAGCTGTATTTATTCCACGCTTGATATGCATCCGATTTACGTTTGTAGGGTGGCTCACGCTCCTGACCATGGAAACTGCGAACTGCCACTTCTATGCAAAGGGAGGGAGAAACGGATAAGAAGTCAATTGTGAATTGTGCGCGCCTTAAAATTTATTGCCTCTCTATGCAAGGGCCAAACGATGACTCACCATTCTCGTATTTGCTGCGATATGTTGTTGGCGCGTATATATTGTAGGTTGGTATATTGTTGTTGCTATTCAAATTTTTATAATTCACATTATTACTGCTAGCCGCGGTTGCATGCACCGAATTGTAGCGGCGACTCTCCGACTCCTCTGCACGCGTTGGTGGCTTCCGCTGCTGGCAAAAGTTTGGATCCAATTTGTAATAGTTTTGTGTAGAATTATCGCAGGAAAACTTTTCGCAGCGTCCCGCTACGCAATAGGAAATATCTTCGGCCCGATATAGCGTTGAGCGGCAGGTGGTGCCATCTGGGAAAGTCCAGCGTCGCGTTTTAGTGCCGTTCGATTTCGTGCGGCAATATACTTTGCACGATTCCTCTGCAAAGTTATATTTCAATATAAAATCAGAAGGTGTAAGTCTACAAAAAATTTAAGCTCAACGAATATTGTTACCTACCAATATCGCCTATAATTTGCACGCCTTCACCCGTCAATTCTGCATCGGACTTTTGCGCGCGACTACATTTGTCATTAGCAAAATCATCGATTGTCATTACGATTTTTAAACTGTAGCACTGCTTAGCTATGCACGCCTCATATTTATCGTTGCGTCCCATACAACGTCTACGGTGATCGACGCATCTTCGCGAATAAGTTCTCAGTCCGGTGCTGCCTTCGAGCAATCGCCGTGAGGGTCCATAAAGACAACCAGAGGCGCATTCACTTCCTTCACTCCAATCACTCCAACTCGCGGGCTGCAACGAAGGAAATAAAATAAAATCAGCTCAACTATATTTTTAACAAAGCCAATGAGAATCTGTTATTGCTAAACCAAGCCAATTTAGGCTTTTATCATTTCTATTAAAATACTTTAAAGCTTTTTGGTAGCCTATATCAAACTGTCGGCCGCTGTGGTGTAGTGGTAAGCAGTGCGCGCTTCCACTCCACAATGCCTGGGTTCAAACCCTGGTCAAAGCAACATCGCAAAAATATAGAAAAAAGGTTTTTTCTTAACAGCGGTCGTCCCTCGGCAGGCAATGGCAAACCTCCGAGTGTATTTCTGCCATGAAAAACAGCTTCTCATAAAAATACAATCGCCGTTCGGAGTCGGCGTAAAACTGTAGGTCCCTCCGCTTTGTGTGACAACATCAAGGCGCACGCCACAAATCGGAGGAGAAGCTTGGCCAAACACTAACATATGTGTAAGCGCCAATCTATTATTATTATTATTATTATATCAAACTCTCCATCAACGTAACCCTTCTATTCCAAGTTAGTAAACGTGCTAACTTTAAGCGTTGATCCACAGAGACAGGTCAGGTATTAGTATTTGCTCATCGAGCAGCGCAAGTGACAAAAATTTCCGTGTCCCGATCGATTTTTTTCTAGTGACCTAAAGGCGAATATGGAACTGATTTTAATTCTAAAGCCGAACTATTTACTCTCTTGATCTACTTTCACCCTGTACGTCGGTATTGAGCTAGCTGATTAATAGAACAAAGTGACTTATGGTAGCAATACCAAGAACTTTAGCCCCCAACCGAGTCTAAAAGTACTAACTCTTCTTGATCTAGACATATGTACGTATAAGAAACCTCTGTGCGATTATGATTTTTGTTTTACCTTCGTTGTCGTTCTCAATTTCAAAAAAGATATGTATTCTACTAAAAGTATTATATAAGAGTACTCACCTTATTGTAATTGTATTCATGTAGCAAATGGCCCATTTTACTCGACTCTAAGAAGTTTGCTTTATCATAGCCCACTTTGCCAGCGTTTGTGACTTGTTTCGCCGGATGATTGGGCTCTATAAATGCAGGTCGTATCACACAAGTACCGCTGCGACACCACTGTAATAATTTCGTAGATTATAAGTATTAGCACGGAATTTTCGACGTACCCCAAACTTACCATATTTTGCCCACATTCAGTACCCTCCAACGCCGGATGTGATGTCCAAGTATAACGTTCTCGCTGACAATGCAAATCTGTGCAAATATCCGATTGCTTTTGATTTTTGGCACGCATCGAATTGCGTCCATATTTAAGCATACATTGTTGATCGGCATCAAAGCGCTCACCGGGTAGTATGCCTTCAGCGGAGTGATCTAAATTATTAGTAAATTGACCGTGATCAAAGAGACAGCTGCCTTGTCCTTTTCTGGAGCATAAAATTGGTATTAAAAACTCAACTCTTCAAACATTTTCCTTTACTAACTATGTATGTACATACTTATTTATTCTTCCTACCTTAAAAACGCCTCCAAATAATCACGCGAACAATCCGACCAAGTGGTCTTCCCACTGCCCAATGTGGGCGACATTATATACCGTGTGGGATCACAATTTCGATCGTTTATTGTATCGTGACGCATACCAAGGCTACAGAGACAAAAAATATGAAATGAAAATTAAAAACAAAATTAAGCAAACATTTTTTTGCAAACAAACAAAAATAAATTTAATAGCAAAAAAAGGAAACTGAATAATCAAATGCATGTTGCATTACATGAAATCACTCACTTATGTCCGATCTCGTGCGCCACAACGAAAACACTTTCGAAATGTTTGCCCTCGTTGATGGTACATGAAGATGTGTTGGTGCACATGCCGGCCACTGGCGCAAGACCGACCACCTGACTGATCTTCTTACCGCCTTTGTCTACCACATACAAATCGAGACCTGTGAGAAAACAAAAACAAGCAAATGAGTTTAATTTATATGATAAATTGGCTTTGTATTTTTTGCAAGTAGCCTCCCAGCCAGCAAGAAAACGTACATTTTACGAACATTATATTTTACGAGGGATTCTCGATCGGCAAAAAGTTAGAGAAAGGCTCGTAAACGATAAAACAAAAAAATTTAATAGAAAGGGAAGAGAACATTCGATGGGGCAAGATAATAAACATTGATTTGTTAATCACTAACTTGCCGTGAAGGTCTAAAACATCCGGAGTATGGGCTTGATTTTGTTGAGTGTAGGTGTCATTAAAGAAAATATGCTCGAAGTTTTTCTCGATATCGAGGGTGCCTTCACAAGAATGATAGAATACTGTTACTGTCTCCCTACATCGTGGGTGCCTTCAATAATGTCTATCCGAAGTATGTTTTTAGATCCCCTCTTATGGTGGGGGTGCAACAGGGTTAGCTGGATTTCATTGGGCTCCTACTCGACGAGAACTCTTCTAGCAGAACTGGGGAATGCCTCCTTCACAAAGTATGTGACCAGAGGCCCCCCCAAGGGTACTTACTCTCCCCTCTACTCTGGAATCTAACCGTTAAAGCCCTACTTCAAAGTTTCAATGGCACCGGTTGTCAAGTCAAAGCGTATGCTGATGACATATCAATTGTAGCAACGGGCAAACATCTGCAGGCCCGGAGTGCACTCAGTCTTCTAAACGTCTGAAGGTGTTTCGATGGCCCATAACCTCCGCCCCTCCAGAACGGCATATCGCTATTTCTTCTGACAGCCAGGCTGAAAGGTTCAAAGTGGCTTCAAAATGCTCCTTGACTGTTGTATTGGTCCCTGGACACAAGTACATTCCTGGCAACTGTCGAGCCGATGAGCTGGCAATACCTCGAACCTCCTGCAAACACAGACTAAAGGCTGAACTCATCGAGAAGGTAATAACAGGTGGACTGTGGAAACCACCTGCAGTTTGTCGCACAAAAATGCAGGTAGTCTTGCTGCTTTACATTTAGTCGGAAGCAAGCAGAAGGTTAACTATGGCTTAGGAAAAATCGACACTGAAACTCGAAACAAAACTCTGAAAAAAAGTTCACTTTTAAGCCGTTGTGGTTTATCGTCATCGCACAACAACAAAACTTTATATATAAATCACTTACGTCTAACTAGACAAAAAAGTTAAAAAGTTACAAAAAAATATGTATTTCTTATATCCTGGGGCACTCTAATGTAGATATCGCATAACCGCAGAGAACTGTTTGGTTTCGTCTGAACTTAAACTATTCTTACTTTCTCTTTCCTGGAAGTGTTGTGAAACTATTTTCCGTCATCACTTGTGAAATTATGCCTATTAAATTGTTTTCTCACACCCACCTGTCAAGATCACAGCGTGATCATAATGCATTGTGTCGGTATCCGATGGCGGATTTAAACGTTGCTGCCACTCACAAAAATTACTCAAATACGTATCAATATCATCGGAGCGCCGCAAGTTTGCCGGATCATTGTAAAGTATCTCCAAGCGTTTCAGTACGAAATTGATGCGCCGCCCCAGCGAACGATCATGATACAGCAGCTGCACAGCATTTATCATTGCCAATACGAAACGTATCATTTGACTTTCAGTATTGTCGGGAAAATTCTTCGACATATGCTTGAAGAGATCACGATCAACAAAGATCGCCGTCTCAATATACAGATCTTGTGGTATTTTTGGACTGCCAGAGGCGATGTAACGGCGACGACGACGACGACGACGTCGCTTTTGCTTATCATCACTTTGGGAATTCCTGTTTGTTTTGCTATCATCCTTTTCGCTGTTGTCGTTGTTGTTGTTGCTCTTATGAGTTACATTGCTATGCGCTAATGGTGGCAGTGTTTCATGAAATTGTTTGCGATGATGTGCTTTTTGTTTTCTTTGGCGTTGTTGCAGTTTATCCGACTTCTGTTTGTTTGTTAGTTGTTGATGTAGATGTTGGTGTTGCTGTTGTTGCAGTTGTTTCAGGTGCTGATGACGTTGATGACTGTTGTGCTGCTGCTGTTCGTTGTTGTGATGATAACGTGGCTTGTAGCGTAAATTTAATTCCACATATTTTTTAGATTTATCGCCCCTGCTTTTGTGATGATATGTGTAGTTATGTAATGTTTCTCCTTCGATTTCTTCATTGGGTTCATAATCGGAGTTACGTGCGGGCCGTAAAGTGTCCTCAATCACAGTGGGCACCAAATTGAAGTCACTTAACTCATTGAAATCTTCTTCGTCGGGTTCAAATTGTAGGCTTGCATTAAGTACCGTTGCCGCCAGCGGCATGGAGGCAGACTCCTTGGGTTGATTGGACGCTGTGTGATAGTTGGATTCGAGTATTACATGTGTGGAATTGCCAAAACGTGCCGGCAATGGATGTATTATATAGTTAGTGGAGTTGTGATGGAAGACACCGCGCTGAAATGTAGGAAAGGGGTTCAAAAAATTAAATTAACGAATTAGATTTAGGACCGGTTACTTGATATCTGGTAGCACTAGCTACTGGTTATATCTACTGGGCGCCCCATTGGACAATGCCTATTAACAATCAGGTACCAAGTACGCGTTCCAGTTTTGGTTTCGGTCTGCATGAGAACAAAATGTAATCTCAAAGTGGAACAAAAGTATTGAGAGCAGATTGAGCGGGAACAAAATGCGAACAATAGGTTCGGAAACGCTTCCGTAAAGAACAAAATGAGAACAAAACTCCGTGGAACGTTCTCAAGAAGAACAAAATTAGAGCGAAACTTTCTGGAACGTTTTTAATAAGAAAAAAATGAGAGCGAAAGTATCGAGAACATTTTTAAGGACAATCAAATAAGAGCAAAATTCTGGAAAACGTTCTGATAGAGGAAAAAACGAGAATAACAGTTTTGAAAACTTAACGTTGAGAATGAGAGGTACGTGTGCGTATTTTGTGGAACAATCGTTTCAGTGAGAACCATGACCGGTAATTCTAAGCCAGAGAGCCTGATTGTTTATCATTAGGGTGAACTGTCCATTTTTGGAAACAAATTTAATTTTAAGTCTTTCGTTAACTTAATTTGCATAAAGATCTTTCAGTTTGTTTTTGATTAATTTCAAAATATTCAAACATTTCAAACCAATGGAACGCTATGAGAAGAATTTTGTTCTCGCTTTGATTTTTCATGAACAGCTCAGAGAAGATTTGTTCCCGACTTGTTCCCTGTCAACCAGTTCCTGAGACTTAAGTTCCTAAATGGTTCTTTGAGAGAAAGTTTCTAAGAGTTTTGTTCCCATTTTGTTCTTCTAGAAATGTTTCCGAACGTATTGTTCGCTTTTTTTTTTGGGCACGTTCCATAGGCTTTTGTTCTTATATAATTTCCGTTGAGAACTTTTTCGACAGTTTTGTTCTCACTTTCGTTCTTGTGAAAATGCTCACGAAAAGTTTGATCTAATTTCGGTTTGGGTTATCTAAGCGTTCTTGGGAACAGAACACGAGAATGAAATTTCGTTTCGATCGTACCTTTTGTTCACGGTCCCTGATAATAAAATAGAACCTGCCACCAGTGTGACCAACTGATCACAAAAAAATTAAGCTAAATTGACACATTATTCTCATCTGGGGTATACACTAAGTAATTTCCATAATATACCCATCACACAAGTTTAGTCACTCTTCTTTCTCTCATATCGTGACTGCTGACCCGTGCACTCTACTTTCCACAACTAACATTCTATGCAAATGAATCTTTGATCAGCGCCAGCCGCTTGACCAATTGCAGGTTACACGCTCATTCTCCCCGAACAATTCACACACACACCACTCAACAAATATTCCACCTCCTCGACCGTTTTTTTTTCGATTCATCTTTTATTCAATGTAATTTTTTTGCGTTGAATATTTTTTGCTACTTACCACATTTCCATCATCACAAAGGTCAAGTGCTGAATTTTCATTACTGTAAAAGCACCGCTCATACCGCTCCGCTAATTTATGCGAATCCTCAATGAACTGCGTCGAGTTGGCGTAGCGTCGGATGAATACAAACGCATCGTCGATTAGTTTCGGTGTCTGGCGTAGCTGTAGGTGCACCGATTGCTCGTTGTCTGTAAAAAAAAAAACGCAATCGAAAAAATTCAAACAATTACTACATATATTGAAAGCCAACAGAGCAGAAGAAATAGAAATGTATGGTACATGGGCAAAAGTAAAGGGAATACGTGGATAAAAAAATAATACATATAAGTGTTTTATATGAGTGTATATATTACATATACATATGTTTGTACATTAGAGTGGTCCTTAAATGTAGGAAGCAAATTTTTACATCAGATTTCCTAATCCTCGACCCCTACGTCGATGCAGCTATAGTCGAAGATAACACATATAGATTTTGGTCCCGATTGGAGAGGGTTAAGGCGTGTCGCACAGTGGGCAAAGTTCAGATTACCCTATGTTTGCCATCTTAATCGACTCCAATCAGCACCAAAATTTATATGTGATATCCTCGACTTTAGTAGTATAGGTTTTGGGTATTAAATGAAAAAAAAATATTATTAATTTTTTGAGTCCATAGAGGCATCTGGCCGTTGATCCCTCTGCGACACGTATTAACCGTCTCCAATCGGGACCAAAATTTATATGTGATATCTGTGACAGTGGTATTGCCGATTGAGGGGGTGAGACTGAAAAAAATGTTTGATTTGATTTTTTAAGGACCACCCTAATGTGCATATTCATCACTATATCCATAATTTACGAATCTAGATGCAGATATACATATAAACCTACATATTCTCTCATTACTGCAATATGTGCAGATAGTAGTGCATCTTTCATGCAACGGTAGGCGCTCGTCAGCCACTGCTGCACTCAAAGTCTATCTCTAAACCGTTTTTTGTTAGCGCATCTCACAGCCACATCATTTAAGTTGCATTGACCGGAATAATAAGTTTTATTTCAAAGGCCACATAGGCAATAAGATCAAAGAATGCCTTAAATCACATATGGTAATGAGGCAAGTGCAAAACATTAGAAAGAAATAAAAGAAAACGCATCTCACACAAAAATAGACGTACACAGATGGATGGATGTGGCATTCACTCATTTACAATATCAAAATTGTGTTGATGCACTCAACCTTAACCGGTTGCGGGGCGAAGGTTTGCCAAGTGAAGAATAAAATGGGGGCATTATTGGTTTCATAGTTTGGAATATACCCGAAGTCATTTCTGTTACTTCACGTCGTAAGAGTAAGTTGACGCGATCAAAAACAGTTTCTATGAGTTGTTGGAGCGCATGAGGTACAGTGCTCAAAGCCTACAGAGGGCTCTAAAAATGGTTCATTCGAATGGTCTTATGCACTTTGAAAAACCTGAGGGAACCTACACGCACACACCTGACAAAACAAGCAGGCCTCTATTAGAAATCCACTTCTCGGGCTGCTTTACACAAGGCCCAAGTACTAACATGAACACTAGGGTGCCCATCGAAAATGGTTTTTTTTTTTAATTTTAAGACCCTACCCCCTAATTTTATTTTTTTTTATGAAAAATATGTTTGCCTATTTTTATAGATTTTTTAAAGGTCATTTAGAGGTCGATACCTGTTGATTTATGGGCCAGAAAATAGGATTTTGTGGATTTATGAGTTTTTGAATGGCTATTTCTGATTCGATTTCAAAGATCGAACATGATCTGAGAAGAGAATATTTAGACCATTAAAATGGTATATAATAATCTATTGTCGAACTTGGCTTGTGGGATTTTTTATCGGGTAAAATAAGAAAAACACATATTTCTCTCAATTTTTTAAATTTGGACCATCGATAATTTCCACAAATTCAAAATATATAGCACTATTTAAAATTAAATCTATTTTTAAATAAACCGTATACACACTGTGCTTTGCCTCATGTTAGTTTCCTAACATGTTTTTACTTTAGGTCCAAATTATTATTCCAGCAAGGGAACTTGCAATTAATAAAATTCTCTTAGTCTCATCAAATTAAAAAAAAATCTACCCTGCAAAAAATGGGACTAATCCGGGATGACTCCGGGAGCAATCGCAAAGGAGCATGCGACTAATACCACTTTTGATCTCTTTATATGGAATGAACTGATCGCTTTTGTTCGAGCATGTCCTATGAAGAGACTAATTGTTCACCTTTATACCCGAAAGGGTATAAAAAGCGACTAGTCACTTTTAAAAAATACAAATAAAAATTTGCGCCAGCTGAGATTCGAACCGGGTTGCTCAGTTTTGTTAGACGAATACTCTATCTGTGTGCCAACGCCGCACATGAAATTTCATTGACTAAGTGCGTACATATCATTAAATCGTTAATAGTACCCGTTGGAGATGAGTTGGGGACTAATTGATCTCCAATTATACCCATAAGGGATGAGTCGAGACTAATTGACCTCCATTAGTACCCGTATGAGACTAGTTGCGACTAATTAATGCCCAATTGTACCCGATTGAGAGTAATCTCGGAATACTCTCTTTAGAGATTAGTCGCACAATTTTTTGCAGGGTAATTTTGAAAATACTCGTTCATATCTAGCAAGATCTTTATCTTACTTCACCTGCACTGCATATTCTGTCAATCTCATCAAACTTTAAGCGCAACACGCGCGCAATGATCTTGCAATAAATCATGTTTGAATATTTGTAGCATATGTTATTAAGTGGAGCATTTGCCACTGGCTTACCTTTTATTTGCACAGAGACAACCTCCTCATTTTCGCCCGCTGGTGACTGCATTTGCGGTTGGGCGCCGCTTTGACGCTCTGTGGTGGCGCTGGTGCCAGAACGTTTGACACGATGCGATGATTTGTGTGCTTGCTGCTGATTCTCGTGCTGTTGTTGTTTTGGTTCTGACTGCATTGAGCTACCAGCATCAGCAACTTTGGTTGCTCCCTCAGCGGCATTGGCATTTGCTAGATGTTGCAAATGCACCAATTTGAGTGGACGCCCTGCAAATAAAGATCAATGTTGGCAATTATTCACATTCATTTAAGTATTTATGTAAATATATGTATGTATTTATAATTTAGTAATTTATAAATCCTAATATTCTAAAAGGCAGAGCAACAAACAGTTAATATTCACTGGGGACGCTTAGAAGTTGAGGTTTGCCCGCTGTCTGCCAATTCAACTGCAGTCTTTTGGCCTATATCAGCGTATATCTTTATGTCTGCTTGTCTGCCTGCCTGTCTGTCTATTCGTTTGTCTATTCAAGTGCGCCGCCTCTAAAGCTGATGCCACATAAAACGTTTGCTTCGCTTTACGTGACAGATTCGCTTTGACAGCTAAGATGAATTGTATGAAAATGCACAAAGCATGCCACATAGATCATTGAAGCTGCAGCGCGAAGCGAAAAGATGGCCAACTCCCATCTTTTTGCGCGCTTTGACAATCAGCCGGTTTAATATTTATTTTGTTTCGTCCAAATTCGAGTATTCATGCTGAAACATAAAACTCAATTACATTGCTGATAATTTTAAAGCAAAATATCTTAAATCCACAGCAATTTTGACGAGTAAAAAAGCAGTGCAAAATTGATTTCTTGGCGTTCATTGTGGCATACCTTTTGCGTCTGGCGCTTTGCTGGCAAATTTATAAATGTCACGCAAAGCTACAAAGTTTTATCTGGCATCAGCTTAACAGCTCAAAGTGTTATTAGTGATTGCTGGCAGCCACTGCTATTGATTCCAGTTCGAATTTATTTTCTGAAGTGCAAATTACAAATTACTGCCAATATCGAAGACACATTTTTTTTCAGACTTATTAAAGTTCTTGTTATATGCATATTTTCATATGTATATGTGTATGGGTATACATAGGATATATTTCTTTGAACTTTTGCGAAAACGGTTAAGCGAGAAACGTAAAGTGTTTAGGTTTCGCAAGCGACAGATGCTAGTCCCAGAGAACTCCTTCGTACTAGTCATAAAGTAAGTGGGAGCGTTGAAATGATTTCACCGACAAAAAGAATCCGATAAGATATTTATTCTCACTGGTACACCTACCTAGACAGTCAGCGGTCCATCCTCGGCCAAGATGAGCCTAACAAATCGTAATCCCTGACTTTCTCCCAGCGTTCTCTGAGTTGAGAAAAGCCCTAACTTTCCAGAAAAAATCCACAAGTAGTCAAGGGAGCTCCCACTCTCTTTTCTTGGTCCCTGAGCAATTCATCAGCCGCACCGTTTCCTGCGATATCACTATGGCCTGACATCCTTATAAGTCAGGCAAATTAATAATACGAAGCGATCTAAAGCGAGTTAAGTGCTGGGGAAAGAGGTGGATTGAAGGCTATAGAGGAATTCAATTACAGAACCTTTGGGCACAGCTCAGTCGGGGCGACGAATACAAGCAGCACAGACTATGTTGCAGCTTACTTTAAGTGGCAACGAAGGTTGCGCACAACGATTGAGGAGGAGAGTTGATACGAGGGATTGAAACCCAGCCGTAGAGCTCCAAATATTTTCACGGATTTATCTAAAATGGTATCAGAAGTAGGTGTCGGAATATAATGCCGGGAACTGAACGCCGGTCGGACAGTAAGTTTACACGACCAGTGCAGCATATTTTAAGCAAAGGTTTTCGCTATCAGACCGATTCTGAACAGAAACAACCTGGGAGTTTTCTCTCCTTTCCCTTTCCACCTATACCTTTGCAATGGTGGGGCAGAATCAAAAAAATATTGTTCTGCCGTATCTTCCTCTTTAAGGGGAAAGTTGTCTGTACTATCATCAGCTCAATGAAAACAATTACCTTGCTGGAAACTCTGTAATAAGGGGTAGCTTGAATTTTGCTCACCAGTAGCCCTTCGATAACGGCCAATCATTGCTAAACGAAATATTTGCCGAGTTTCTGATGGTTCCTTCGTTGGCCCAAGGTGGGAGTGCTATAACTGGTTGTGAACCTTTGCTGTTACCATAAATACCTAAACACTTATTTCAAGGCATTGAGGACTGAAAATATTTCGAGGTGGAATAATAACTGAGTATTGGGTCTAGGCTATCACTTAGCCTTAGGGAACCCAACTTTGTAATATCTCATCAGCAAAGGAAATGGTCGCCCGCTGTGGTGTAGTGGTAAGCAGTGCGCGCTTCCACTCCACAGCACCTGGGTTCAAGCCCTGGTCAAAGCAACATCGCAAAAAAAATAGAAAAAAGGTTTTTTCTTAACAGCGGTCGTCCCTCGGCAGACAATGGCAAACCTCCGAGTGTATTTCTGCCATGAAAAACAGCTTCTCATAAAAATACAATCGCCGTTCGGAGTCGGCGTAAAACTGTAGGTCCCTCCTCTTTGTGTGACAACATCAAGGCGCACGTCACAAATCGGAGGAGAAGCTCGGCCAAACACTAACGTATGTGTAAGCGCCAATCTATTATATTACTATTAAAGGAAATGGTGTCGTTAAGGAGTTTTGGGTATGCAGTGTTTTAGTCCATTCAATTCTATTATAAAAAAATGCAAGTATGAAATGTTTGATGTAGCTGGATTTTGCTGTTGATTTTTGGTATTTTTGGTTACGATGTCACTCATTCCATTCCATACGAAATATATTTGAAGATTTTTTTAAATAACGTAATGCTTAATATCCACTATTATTTAAAATTCTTTATGCATATGAGCCGCTTTACTTTAGTACACTCACGACAAAAAGCATTGGCACAATATGTGCAACAATTTTTTTTTCCGCTAATTTTTCCTAAAAATATGCTTCATTCGGGAACAAAAAACATAAAAGTATAATTTCTAAACTTTATGCAGGAAATTAGAAGTTGCTTGCTAAAAAAACGAGTTGATTTTTAGGATTTTTTTTTTTGTTGAAGGTGTTTCGAATTTTTTCCATACAAAGTATTTGTATTTTTTATATGGAAAGAAAATGCGTGAAAAAATTGCCAAAAATCAACGGCAAATATACTAGAATTTAGTGGGCTACAAAATTGCACACTCAAAAAAATTTTACAAAAAACTGATTAAGAAGTCGAAAATTCGCATGAAAATTTATTCAATATAAAGTTAGGAATTTTACTTTTATGTTTTTTGTTGATTGAACTATTTTTTTATAAAAAATTAAGCAAAGAAAATTTAAATTAAAATTGTTGCACATATTGTGAAAAGTTCTTTAGTACACTCACGGCTAAAAGTATTGGCACAATATATGCAACTTTTTTGTTTAAGCATTTTTCCATACAAAGTATTTTCGATTTTTTTTTTGTATGGCAGAAAATGGGGAAAAATTGCCAAAAATTTAATGGGTAACAAAAAGTGGCATACTCAAGAAAATTAAAAAAAGAAAAGAAGTTGAAAATTCGCATGAAAATTTATTGAATTTTCCTGAGATTTGCACAAACTTTAGAAGCCTTACCCTTATGGTTTTTTGTTGCATGAACATACATTAAAAAAAAAAAATAGCAAAATAATTTAAATAAAAATTATTGCATATGTTGTGAAAATTTCTTTGTGCCAATGTTTTCTTCCCTGAGTGTGTATAAAAGTAGAAGAAGCTACAAATTACCGTAGATTTTTTTTTGTATATTTTTTACTTACCTCAGGTCAAGGCACTGAAGTTTCGAACCACATGGCATTCAATGTATTTAACTCTTTTATTAAATTCCTTTATACTTACTTGATTTCGCTTTCCCAAAAATTAATTCCTTTTCGTGCTCTGCCAAATGATCCGCGAGTGATTGTTCGTCAATCTAAAAGGAAACGAATTATTTTATATAGTATCTGAAATAAACTTTTCCAGTTTATTAAAAAAATATGACACTGTGGAACAATTCAAATGTTTTTTAGAGCTTCAACGAAACAATTAACAAGCATTAGTAAAAACTCGTACTTGTCAAACCCCAAGAGTTATTTTTCCGCCTTTTCATATTTTTTTTTTGCAATAATGGTGATTTCGTTTCTTCTAATAAATAAAATTTGTTTGCTTTGTGCTTTGTTTTTATGTTTTACTTGAAGAAAAAAGAATTGAACTTATTCGAGTCGGGTTTGAGGCATCCTAATAATCATATCCGCCATAGTCGAGTTTTAGAGGTGCGTTGTGACTTTAAACGGACTTTCCCTATACCATGTTGCGCACGAAGTGGTCTCCAAATTAGGGATGTATTTTCTGAAAATTCGACGTAGGTACATATTAATGTATCTGCTTTTAATTCATTTTCATTGTTGTTTTTTTTCCTTGGCAAGTGAAAACGACAACAACTGCTGAAAACGCTAACAACCAGCTAATGGCCGACTAAATCGCTTGCAAGCCTTCAACCAACACAATTGGCTACCACGCGAAACAATTTGCCAAATTTTGGAAAAGTTAAGGAAATTTTCTATTAACCAGAAAAAAGTTATACATACATAAAATAATACGGGAACTTGCAATTTAACGCAAATATGCGCTCTAAGTGTAGCAGAAAAATCTGCCACTTAATTTGAAATTTCTTAAGGGCCGTTTTCTCAAGTAACCTGCAACTTTAAAGGTCACTTTATATTTAAAGGTTGCATTAAAATTTATGATTGTGTCTAAAATAAAGTCGGTTTAAAATTGGTTTATAACCAAGAAATATACATACGTCAAAAACCTATAATAGAAATGCTTTACTTTAGTCATGGCTTTATTTTTAATACACCCTTTAAATATAAAGTGAGCTTTTAAGTTAAAGGTTACTTCAGAAAACGGCCCTAAGAGGTAGTAAATAAATACTACTTATTTAGATAGACGAAAGTGTTAAATAAAATGAATGCAACAACACCGGCATGAGTTCACAGCCCCCTGCCTTTTAGTTCAAAGTTGAAAATGTTAGGCCGTAATATGTTTACAAATAATTGCTACTAGCTGCAAAAAAACGACGAAAAAAACACATGACAGAGGAGTTCAGCGACATACCTACTGACGACGCACCATAAATGCCCGTAGCGAAGCGTGAAACGCAAAGCAAATACTACTACTCGCGTATATTTTCCGGCGAGCTACAGCAATTGTGGCGGTAAATGGCATTAAATTATAGCTGGCAAGAAAATCGAATGGTAACAGCAATGCACGAAAAAATTTGTGAGATAGATTTTTTTCATATTTTCAATATTTGAAATATGAAAATAATAAATATTTGCAACATGAAAAACGTTCAAAAAATATCAATTTGTACTCAATGCCAATAAGCACAATAGACCTACTGGTCGCAGAGCTTTATCTATCTATCTCCACAACGCCAATTAAAATAATACGCATCAAAGTCAAATTAACCAATAATTAGTCAAGCATACTTTTATATGTATTAGGGTAATCCAAATCTTCAAAAAGTAAAACTATGATGCTTATTTGAAAAAAGTTAAACAACTCAGACTTCGAGTTGTTTGTGTGTGATGCGATTATGGACACATAAAAACTCATTATTGTATATGAGATAAGATTATCAGCTAATGCTTCAAGTCGGGTATGGGCATGATTTTTAATTTGGATGAAACCGAAATATGTTGTTTGTTGGTCCAAATAATGAGAACCGTATTATTCTTCAGCAGGAAACAACTCCAACAAGTAGATTTCCCTCCGTATTTTTGGATCACCCTATTACACATATGTTACAGCACACTCATAACAAAATACATACGTGTAAAAACATTACGCGCTGGAACTGGCCGGAAAGCCACGCAGTATTTTGACGCACTTGAACTGGATGATGGCACTAACCCTAAACAAATACCCAACAATAATGGTCGCAAAAAAATGGAAACAAAAATAAAAGAGCACGATGACCAGCGAACCGAAATAATGGAATCATCCATATTGGCAGCTTCCGTAGCCGGCAAACACTTGTATATGTATGTAGGGAGACCCGGAATTTAAAAAGCTGTGAATTTAACGCCATTGCTGCAATAAATTGTCGCCAATTAAAAATAAATGACAGTTTGGCAATCATGTATAGCGGCAAAGCGGCTTATAATCAAAACCTGCTATCAGCGATTTTCACAAAAGTACTTTCTGTTGTTAGAACTTGCCTTTTAATACTGACCTTATATGTATATCGCTTGTTGGAAGAATACAGTAAATTCCTCAATTCTAAAGTTAAAATTACCATTAGTGATCGCAGTTAAGTCTCATGGTGATTTCCTTTCTTTCAAATAATGTTGCCAAATAAAAAAAAAAATATCTGTGTTTTCGATTAAAATAAAATCTTGCATTAATTTTGGGACACCCTATATATTTACATATGTATGCCTAAGCACATATACAATCATGCAAAAATATGATGGATATATATAACCATCCACCGGCTTGAAAATTACGTATTATCATTGTAATTCAATAAATTCACTGCAAAAAATGCCACTAATCGGGGCATTTTAAGAAAAGAATCACGAAAATCGGTTGAGACATAACGACTGCTTTTTTGACATATAGCGATTTTCCCCCCACATTGTGCCGCTATTCAAATTATTCGCACTAACGTAGCTTTCGTCTCTCTTTTCTTCCTCTGGAAAATGTGTTTTTCTCCCTTCCCTTATAGATAGCCGTCCATTTTAACTCTATGCATGTATTTACATAGCTCCGTGACGTCTTGCCATTAATCTGTTAAATAGAAGTATAGCGTAAAATAAAATTTCTGAAAACCAAGGAATATTTAGTTGTCCTAAGAAAAAGATACATATGTCACATGCATAAAAAATTCTCATAGCTAATTATATTTTTATCTGGCTACCTAAACAAGCACGTGAAATTTTCCGTGATAGCTACGACTGCGAACCTGCCAGTGTGTGCCAATAAAAATCCGGGGCACTATTTATTTTTTATTAGCGCAAAACAAGATGTTTTGGTTTTGTCCTCAATGTGCTGTGTACAACATTAAAAATTGTGATATTGCGTGACATATTCACAAATGTATCGTGCGTCTTTATGCGAGTAGATACCTACTTATTTTATCTCAACTTTGTGAAATCATTTGTTTTTGTTTGTTCATTAAACTTTTTTTTATTCATTAAGCCTTTGTTTGTTTTGGTTATTCATATAACATTGCACATAAATACCTCCACTATTTCGCACTTACACGCTTGTTATTATCAGTGTGGAAGAGTTCACCTGCGCTTGCGCGACACTCATGGACAATACCTTTTCAAGCATGCTTGCATACATATGTATTTGTTTGTATTTAGTTAGTGAGGCACAATCATGCATTTGCAC